CTGCCTCCTTCCTCCATTTTAGAAAAAATGTTGAGATAAGGTGCGTATACCATAAAATTAACCATTTTGAGGTCAACAACGAAGCAATAATTAATGTTCACAACGTTGTACGGCCACCACTCCTATGTAGTTCCAAGACATTTTCATCATCCCAGAAGGAAGCCCCATATCCACTAAGCAGCTGTTCCCAGTTCCTTCCTCTCTCCAGCCCCTGGCAAACATCCACCTGTGTTCTGTCACTATGCATTCACCTAATGCCTACAGTTGCTATGAATGGACTTTTATGTCTGGCTTCTCTCACTTAGCACACTCTCCTTGAGGGTTCCACCTCCACTTTGAGGGAGCCTAGAAAGGGGGAAAGGGAAGGATAAGAGGCTAGGAAAGTCGGTAGTGGAAGACATGAGGTGGGCCAGGGCAGGGGGCTCCCCAAACTTCAGGATGTGTTCAACCACAGAGGTGTTTCAGTGGAGATTCTGATTTAAAGGACCCAGAAATTGGCCCAGGGGCTCCTGGTGTGGCCTGCGGGTGAGTTCACCCTGTAACAGATGCTGATGTCAATCCTGGAGGTCTTAAGGAGAGTAAAGAATTGATAAAATAGGAGTTAGAAATGAAGAGGGCTGAAAGGCCAGAGGCCGTCATCACACAGTAGGATTTTTGAAGCTGGGGAGTCCTTGAACCCCCTGAGCTCATTCCCACCTTTAGGCCTGCATGGTAGCCTCGTATAATGCTCCCCAGATCTATAGCTGTGAGTGTTCTAGAACCCACAATAAACAGGTAAAAGGGAACAGGCAAGATTAATTTTAAAAATATGGTGTATTTAACTCAACAAAGCCAAAATATTATCATTCCACATATAATTATTATGAGATGATTGAGACATTTTCATTTTTTCTAAGTCTGAAAAATTCAGCATGTGTTTCACACCTGCATCACACTTCAGTTTGGACCAACTATTTCATGTGTGCAATGGCCACACGTGCCTTGTGACCTCCTTACTCATCAGCACAGGCTAGAATGTTCCTGCATGGCTGACTCCGTCTCCTTGAGATTACTGCCCAGAGACCCCTTTCCTGGCCATGTGGTCTCAACCAGCCACCTTCTGCTCCTAGCCCTGAATTTTTGTGTGTGTTGAGACTTACCACTGTTTGAGATTTTATTATTTGTTTGCGTGTTATCTGCCTCCCTGTGGGATATAAATCCCATGAGGGCAAAGACCTGTCTGTCTGCTTTCATACGGTATCCCCAGCAACTACATCACAACCACCGTAGACTCACAACAAATGTTTATTGGATGACTTCGAGGATCCTAGAGTAGTCATTTGTTATCTCCAAAGCCAACAGGCATTCCATGGGGTGTTGGGGGAGGAAGCCTGAGAGGGAGGACCATGATGTAAGAAATAAGGTGGGAGAGAGCGGGCCTGAATGCTTTCTGTGAGCTCAAAGGATGTCAGGTCTGAGGCCAGGCTTCTAGCCTGCTGTGACTTGGCTGTGAGTTGATTCAACCACTGTCTTACGGGCGTAGGAAGAGAAACCAGCCCACGAAACAGCACTTCTGCCTGGCACCAGTAGATGGGGCAGCATCACACACAAAAAGCCCAGTCCAAGGTCTGCTGCAGATGCTGACCTGTTTCCCAACTGCCTTGGCTCCTGTTCTGTTCTGGAAATACCCTGTGTCTCAGGTCCATGGTGTGGGCTCATAGATAGTGCTACCAGTTTTCCCGGCTGAAGAAACCCCGCCAGCCAGCCCAGGCTCAGGCCCAGGTCCAGGCCCTGGGCCCAGGCTAGCAAGAGACAGCCTGGCCCTCCTCCTCCTGGGTCTGTGAGTCCCAGCACAGACTGTGACTCACACCTCAGACTGTTCACGTTTACCTAGAACCTCTCTGCCCTCCCAGGGTTGAAAACAAACTTATTGAGAAGGCAGCCCAGGCGTGGCAGAGACCAGCCCAGAGGAGCAGCTCTGTGGGCCTCTGCCCCCAGAACTGACGTCCTCGCTGCCTCAGAGAAGTCAGGCCAGCCAGTGGAACCCTCCCTGCCCTTGTAGTCCCCAGCGCTCCCTGCTACCACCTGATGCCAAAGGGGGTGCCCTTGTGGAAGCTGAGACCAGCCTTAGCTCCCACCACTGGCCTTTCCTTGTCTTCCCCAAGCCCTTCTGACCCTGGACCTCTGAGCAACTTGGAAATGGTACCCGAACATGACATCTACTTGTAGAGTTTAGACTTCGAGATTATGGACCAGCTAAGGGTCACTTAACACAGGTGAATCTGGTGTGCTTTTTTACCAGACTTTTGAGTTTGGAGCCCATGCAGTCTACCCGATTGCCTTTGCAAGATTTTCCAGGAATTCAAGCAGAAGAGGATTTCACCTTGACTTAAGTGGCTTATTATTGTTCTAACTAATTCATTCCAGCACCAGGTCTGGTGTCCCTCCATTAGTCCATTAGTGCAGCTGGGAAGTAAGGCATCACACCCTGGGGCAAGACTTAGCCATGAAAAGGCTGTTCCTTTCCCTTTCCTTCGACAAATGGCTGGAGGGCCTGAAAAGCACCACCGGGAAACTTTCTTCTCTCCTTGTTATAATCATTAAACTCCACCCTCATCTGCATGTGTGCATGCATTTTCACATTCTAGAATTCTGCTGTCCTCTATATCCAGAAAGCCCTTTAATTCTTTCCTGCTTGGAGAAAGCCTGCTCATTCCTCACACATCACCTTCCGTAGAGCCTGTTCCGATTTTCCCACTCAAAACGAACTTTCTCTTCTTCCCGCTTTTCATAGTACATTGGGTCTTTCTTAGGCACATAGCCTGCTCTGTCTTCCTGTTCACGCGCACATCTCATTCATTAATTCAGCAATCAATTAGTGCCTATTTGTGTACCAGGCACTAGAGGACACAGGGTGCTCTCCTAGATTCAGTGGAAGCCTGAGCTGGGTGCAGTTTGCATCCTTTGTTGGACTGGGAGCTCCTTGTAGACAGGAACTGGGTCTGCTCCTAGCTCAGGGCCTGGCACCAAAAAGTACTCAGGAAAGTTACGTTGAAACTCAGCACCAATGAGTCTGAGAAAATTGGGTTAGAATTTTAAGAAAGGTTATTTAAATTTAAAAGAAAGGCTAAAAGTTGGCAAAAGTAGGGCTCCAGAGAATTTCCAAGAGGGGCTGCAGGGGTTCTAAAATCAGTGGTTTTGGCATGGAAGCCAAAGATATCCAAGATCCTCAGGGGATGAGGCTGATGGGGTAAGGGGTTCCATTGTCCTCCTCTGGGACAAACTTGGCAGTTTGATGTAGGATCATCTGGACATTTATCCCACACTCCAGCTGAAGTCTTTTTGCTTTCACTGAGCAGACCACTGAGGCAAGCTTGTTGTTTGAGGATCCCAGAAATGAGTTACCAGCCAAGGGTCAAGCTGGTCAGAGGACTAAGGCTATGCTGTTCAGGCAGCCCAGGAGAAAAGGATAATAATGTGATCGTCATTCCTAGTGGATGGTGGCTGAGCATTATTAGTGAAATAAAAAACGTCATTTGGATTTTTTACTAGGAATTCTCACCCAAAATGTGTCAATGATGTAATAAAATGGAATGACTGGCCTGCCAAAACAAAATGAGTTCTAACCACACATAAGCATTACTTAGGAATGGTATAGGTCTCCGAAAACTAGTCTTCTTTGAGGCCTGAGAGCAGGAAGGGCCACTGCTAGGGATTAGGGACAGAAACACTTTATTTGTGGACTCTGTACAATATTGTTCACCCCTATCAGGGCGTTACGCTCATCTCACTTCTCACTATCTGCTTGTCTGTAGAGAAAGGGCTCCAAGACCCTAAAAGATAAGTCTCGTTGTTTTCCTTGCTTTGGGCTTTCCTTGCTTCCTTTAATGAAAAATAAATTGTGAAAAAATACATTATTAAACAACACCAGTCATTCTCAGAGAGCTGTCACACAAGGAAAGAACCACTCTTTCCCCAACCTCTTTACATAGTAAATTAGTCTAAATCCCATCTTCCACCACTTCCCCCAGAAGTTTCGATGTAGACACACATTTATTTAGTGAGTTGCAATTCAGCCCGAGGGTGGAGTGTCAGAATTCAAGTCGCCCTTCCCGAGGGGGTAACCCCGGGTCTTGGCGATACCTGTAGATAAATGAGATGCTAGTAAATTTGAGATGTAATTGCGGGATTGGACCGGTTTTCCCTTTCCTTCGACAAATGGCTGCAACTAGGTCCCTTTAAGAGACCAGGAACCCGCCGGGCGTCCGGGCCCGAAACGCATCCTCTTCTGTGCACCTCCCCTGTCCCCGCGCGGCGAATGGTTCGCGCCGGCCTATATTTACCCGAGATCTTGCTCCCGGACCGCAAGGATGTGAGGCTGGCGAGCCAGCTACCGCTTGCAGCACCGGACCCGCGCGCCGCAAGGGCGGGCAGCAGACCTTGGGGACCTCGGGAGCGGAGTCGGACCCCCCCGGAGGGAAGAAATGAGGTAGCGACCGTCCCCGGAGCCGATCATGCGCGCGCCCCGCCCTCGGCGCCCCACGCTGCCCCGGCGGAGCCAGCCGGGACAGTGAGCCCGCCGAGCCCAAGTCCCCACGTCCGGCCGGAGCGAAGATGCAGTGAGCCACCGCCGGAGTGCTGCGCCGGGCCCGCCGCGGCCAGCCGGGGCAGCATCTGACCGCACTCGGGTCAAGCCGCACATTCTGGGATCAGCCCCGCGGAGAGGCTCTCGGTTTCCAGCACCCCCTGGGGGCGGGAGCCCGGACCCCTGGGCACACTCGCTATCGAGTTTCCGCTCTTTCTAGTTCCAGCCCTGGGCAGTGTGTGTGTGTGTGAGCGCGGGGACCCTTTCCAGGCTCACCGAGGAGTTCCTGCCTATTCTCGTCCCGTCCCGGCTGCTTTGGCTGGGGCTCCCTCTGTTTGCGCGCGCGCATCTCTTTTTAACGTTCCACTCTGATTTCGTCTTTCTCTCAATTTGCTTGCCTAAGATCCCGTCCTTGCCCTGGCTGGGGTAAATCTGTGCGCGCTCCTCCCCCCCCCACCCCCGCCCCCAACTCGCAGCTGACTATTTTCTTCTCTTTTAAAATTTTAACCCGTACCCACTTCGGCGGGGTCCCTGAGGACGATACTCCCTAAGCCCCTATCTACCAGTGGGCCACTCCCAGCTGAGTTTTATTTTTCTGTCTTGCCCGGGCCAAGCCCGGCCAGGGCGGGTGGCTCAGCGGGGCTCGTACCCGGCGCTCCGCCGCCGCCGCCCAGCTGCGCGGGGGCGCCCTCCGGAGATGCTGCCGTGGAAGAAACACAAGTTCGAGCTGCTGGCCGAGGCACCGCCACGGCAGGCGTCCAAGCCCAAGGGCTACGCGGTGAGCCTGCACTACTCGGCGCTCAGCTCGCTGGCGCGGGCGTGCCCCGAAGGCGCGCTCAGCCGGGTGGGCAGCATGTTCCGCTCCAAGCGCAAGAAACTGCACATCACCAGCGAGGACCCCACTTACACTGTGCTCTACCTGGGCAATGCCACCACCATCCAGGCGCGCGGCGACGGCTGCACTGACCTAGCGGTGGGCAAGATCTGGAGCAAGAGCGAGGCGGGTCGTCAGGGCACCAAGATGAAGCTGACTGTGAGCGCGCAGGGTATCCGCATGGTGCACGCTGAGGAGCGCGCCCTGCGCCGCCCGGGCCACCTCTACCTGCTGCACCGCGTTACCTATTGCGTGGCAGACGCGCGGCTGCCCAAGGTCTTCGCCTGGGTATACCGGCACGAGCTTAAGCACAAGGCGGTAATGCTGCGCTGCCACGCGGTGCTGGTGTCCAAGCCCGAGAAGGCTCAGGCTATGGCCCTGCTGCTGTACCAGACGTCGGCCAACGCGCTGGCGGAATTTAAACGGCTCAAGCGGAGGGACGATGCGCGTCACCAGCAGCAGGAGCTGGTGGGCGCGCACACCATCCCGCTAGTGCCTCTGCGCAAGCTGCTCCTGCACGGACCCTGCTGTTATAAGCCACCGGTGGAACGCAGCCGCAGCGCGCCTAAGCTGGGCTCCATCACCGAGGACTTGCTCGGTGAACAGCAGGAGCAGGAGCTGCAGGAGGAAGAGGAAGAGGAGCACACGGAGAGCTGCCTGGAGGAGGAGGAGGAGGAGGAGGCGGCGGACGGTGCCGAGGAGGGGGACGCGGCGGCGGAAGAGGCCGAGGCGCAGCGAGCGCTGGTGGTGGCTATGCACTTGGAATGCGGGGACTTGCTGGACACGCTGGAAAGTGGCCGCGAGGAGGCACTAGGGGGCGGCGGGGTCTCCCTGGGCCCTGGGGCTGGGCCGCCGCCTCTGCTGCTGGGCAGCGCCTCGGACATGAAGGCCGAGCTGTCTCAGCTTATTAACGACCTGGGAGAACTCAGCTTCGGCAACGACGTGCGCAGCCTGCAGGCCGACTTGCGGGTGACGCGCCTGTTGTCCGGCGAGAGTACCGGCAGCGAGAGCTCCATCGAAGGCGGGGGCCCGGACGCCACCTCCCCTGCTACCGCAGCGGACCTGTCAGGCCCTAACGACGGCGCCAACCCAGAGGAGCCCCACTCGGGTTGAGATCTCAGCAGCCCCCTGTGCGCACCCCTCGCGCCCCACCATGACTCCTCACCTGTCTTTTGGACCACACCCATCTCCTCCGTCCCCCGCCCGTCCCCAGGAAAGGGGAAATGGGACACTTGAGGCCCAGAGTTGCCCTGGCCCTCTCCTTCAGCACACTTGGCTCTGTTTGAAGCGGGGCTCAGGTTGCGTGTGGAGATGTGCGAGGGGTCAGACTGCACCGAGGGAGAGAGAGACAGGGCTGGGGGCGTGGGGGTGGGGGGCGGGCGGACGGTGAGAAAAGGGCCCGCTGGTTAGCAAGGGATGCCTGCCGGCTGGCCAGTTTCCTGTTTGTGGGGCAGCTGGGGCCTGAGGAAGAGTTAATTTCCTCCCCCGACCGGACCCAGTAACAGGGAGCGGCCTAGCGCTGTCATTGACATGTCATTAAAAAACATGGTTTTTTTTTTTTTTTCTATCTTGCAACGTTTGAGGCTGTAATGCCACCTCCTTGCCCCCAGTCTTTTTGGTGCGAGAGCTTGGGTTGTTTACCTCACACTCAGACCCTTGAAATTCTGCCAAATTCCTCAAATAATTGTTTGGGGATGGTGGTGGGGGGAAATGGAAGAAAGTTGCATTTTGTTTACAGTTAAAGACGTCTAATATCTTTAAAACAACAAAAAAGGAGTTTTCCTTTAAAAACACACACACCTTCTGCTCAAAAGATCTCCCTCCATGATACTGTGTAAAGTATTTTGCACTGTTGTGAAGTATTTTTGACATTTTTTTTTGTACATAACTGTGTTCTCAGAGCTAAATGTTTATATTTTTTGCTGTGCAAAAGGGACATGTAAAATGTTGTTCAGCTGTATATACAGAAATGGGTATAAAACATTTTGTTATTTTTTAAGAGTAGCACTGCTCTGGTTGTGTTTGCACGCCAGTGGGGAGAGAATAAAGAGGACAATGTCACAGAACAGGTGAGCGTCTGGAAGTGCTGCTAAAAATGCTGGGGGGCCACGGGGCTGGAAGAGGGCCTGGCCATCGGTGCCATGGCACGGTAGGACGGGGTTTGGCCTTCACAGTGCTTGGAGGTGATTCCAGAAGGGGAACCTGCTGTTTGTGTAGTCCAGGGCTTCTGTCGCTCTCCAGCAGGGTGGGCGCCGGGGCTGGGGCCAGCCCTTGCCTTCTCTTTGAGCCTATCCTCCCATATTCTTCATGCAGTAAACTGGGGTGGTGTGGACCTTTTCTGGTCTCTCGGAGTTAATTCTTGGAGGTACAGGGTGAGTTCTGTTCCTCACTCCCAGACTTGTGAGGTAATTTAGGAAGGAGTGACTTTCAAGGTCTTCTGAGTTTTTACCACCTTCTTCTGTGGGTCACCTTTTCCCTTACAAATAGTTCAAGGGGCTTTAAATATCAACTGGAGACCTCAAGAAAAGTGTCTTTGGGGCTCTGTGAGGAGTGGGGCTATCTCTGTTTTTCCTGGAGGAAAATCAAGAGAGAGAAAGGTTGGTAAGTTCTGATCATGGCGCGAATGAGTCATGGCGCAGGTGGGGCCGGTGGGGAGGCCGGCGGAAGAACCTATTTCCTTCCCTTCTACAACCCAGTGTGACCCAGTGGGGGAATAGTGTGGAGGTCAAGGCAGACACGAACTGGTAGAGCTTAGGGTGTGTGTGTGTGTGTGTGTGTGTTTTCAGGCTTTCTGTGAGCTTGTTTCTGTTGTAAACTCCAAACAGATGTCTCTGGTTTGGCTATACCCGATCAGCCGGAAGTTGTAATGAGACGCTGCCAAAACTGTGCCTTCCTCAAATTATTTTCTTCCCTTTACCCCTTTGGGCTCCATTTCCTGTGTTGCAGAAATGATCCCACTTCTGGCCTTCCATGCTGTCCTGAGGCTGCTCTATTTTGTTTTCGTCGTAATTATGTTTTAGACAGCTAGACCCACAGATCCTGAGGAGTCTGGAATTTGTTAGAACCATAGAGGGACGGTGAAAGATTGTCTTCCTAATTAACAGAGTTGGTTTGGGCATAAGATTAACTTGAGAAACGTGGGGCACTTGGGTGTCTCAGTTGGTTAAGCAACTGCCTTAGGCTCAGGTCAGGATCCTGGAGTCCCGGGATCGAGTCCAGCATCGGACTCCCAGCTCCACCGAGAGTCTGCTTCTCCCTCTGACCTTCTCCCCTCTCATGCTCTCTCTCACTTGCTCTCTCAAATGGATAAATAAGATCTTTAAAAATAAAGAAAAGATTACCTTGAGAAACAAAAAGCAATGTGTAAGTGGGTGGGAAATAACTAAAAAAATACTCAGAATCACTTTTTAAGGGCATTAAGACAAGGTCCAGGCTTTTGAGTCTTATATTTTGGTTTGGTTGAGAGTCCCTACCCCTCTGCCCAAATACCTCAGATATACATCATTGCATGAGCTTTAAAACCCCCATGTAGAGAGAGGTCAGGAGAGTCCAGTCCTCCCTTCCCCAGATACTCACACCATGTGCTTTCCGTACAGCACTCACCAGCCTGGCAGACAGCTGTGTGGCCCATCACTATCTTGCATGACTGGATTTCACATCTGAAATTATTTTCACACATTGCCAAGTTCCTCTGCTCTTTGAAACGGATAAGAACATTAAAGAGGGTGAAGATCACGTGGCTGGTACATGGTGGTGGGGCAGGGTCTTTGTGTCTTCATTCCTTTTTTTTGTTTGTTTTAAGATTTATTTGAGAGAGAGTGTGTATGTGTGTGTGAGAGAGAGAGAGAGAGAGTGGGGGGAGGGGCAGAAGGAGAGAGAATCTCAAGCAGACCCCACTGAGCATGGAGCGTGATGCAGGGCTCCATCTCACGCCCCTGAGATTATGACGTGAGCCGAAATCAAGAGTTGTGCACGTAACCAACTGAACCACCCAGGTGCCCCTGTGTGTTTTCATTCTTAACCAGTTAATGGTCTAATGCCAATGCCAAGGTAGGCTTTTATCTGTGACTGATGGGGGTAGGGCGATTGGTCAGAAAGTGCAGACAAATGACATTTAAACCAACACCATCAATAAATGGAAGGCAACTGTTTCTTTAAGTCTGATTTTTCCAGTTATTTGATTTATAAATAGGGAAGGGGGGGGTCTAGGGGTTGAGGAAGGAGGAAGAAGAAAATAAGCAGCCTGCAAAAGAACCAGTTCCCTCCCTCCCTCCTGTTGCCCTCCCTTTCCCTCCTTCCTCCCCTCTGCCTTTTGGCTTTTATCCCCACTGCACCCATAGCACTCTGGCTGCTGTAATTCTAGAAGAGATCCGAAGGTGATACACGATTCACCTCTTCTTACATCTCAGTCTTCCAGGGCTGATATCACTAGCATAAGAAGAGAAGTCTGAATGAAAAAACAAAAAAACAAAAGTGGAACACTGCTTTGCTCCTGACACTTGGATGGAAAAGAGTGGTGCCCAAAGCAAAACTAAGCCCTTAGATGAAATATGCCTTCCAGAGAGCACTGAGATCTGGCTTACTCATCCCATCTAGCTTTACCTTCCTGTGAGCTGGGGTTCAGGTTCCTCCTTTGCATAACCTGATGGTACTTTAAATGCTGCGAGACACTTTCCACATTTTCCCCCACCTAAGTAAACCTTTGTGTCCAACAACGCACCACGGACTGCGTGAAAAACGAAGTGACTTCCGTGGCAAGAGAGGTCTTGTCAGGTGGCAGCGTGAGTCCCCGGAGGACGCGTTTCTTTGACCGCAAAAACATCCTCCTCTATTCGTTTGTACCATGTGTGGTGTGCGTTGATGGGGAGCGAGGGAAAGGTGGGACAGCATGAAATAAACAGTAGTATTACAGACCTTCTCAGTACGGAGAGTTGCAGAGAACACCCACTCCACGCACTTGCACGCTGGTGCCTAAAGCAAACCTCCCACCCACTGCCCCCAGAGTCAGCAGAACAGATTTTAAACAAATGAGAAAGGTTCTGTTAGACTGAGAAAGCACAATTCCCTCCCAGAGACAGAGCTGCTTTTCAAGGGCCCTGCTCTTGAAAGGAGAGGGAACGGGCTGGTAAAACCCACCCCTGGCACCATACTCGAGACAGAAAAAACCGCATGGGAGTCCACCAAGGATCACGAGAAACATACAAATTCTGTTAGGAGCCAGTTGCCCTCATTTTTAGCAGGATTTAGTAATTTAATAAGCAGAACACTTTCCTCCACATGGTATGCATCAGTGGTCCTCGCATCTGCTGGGAAGTGATGCACGACGGAGCGAGAAGTGTGTGTGCAACGGGCGCCTGGGAATCACGTGTGACATGCGGGAAACTACTCCAGGCTCGGGGAGGGCTGGGAGGCTGGAGGGCTGGGAGGCTACAGGTCAGGGCACTCTGGACCCCCAGTACCAGGTTTTCCTGCATATGGCCATATCTGGATCTGGCTTTATTGTCAGCTGGGGCCTTTTCTGCTCCTGCTGGCCCATCCCAGGCCACAGGCTGCCTGGGGACACCCGCCCCCACCATGAGCCGCTGTGAGGTGATCCCATTTTGAGCAGCCCTGAATAACCACCACGTTGGTGGCTGGAATGGCTAGGTGGCCCTGGCACTTGGCACACATTCCCTCCCCTCTCTAGGTCTGTTCGGTGGCACCAGCAAGGGTCATGTTTCTAACCCCCCCAGACGGTGGCCCTTCTGACAGCCCCCTCTTCTACATCTCCTCTTCAGCTCTGTCTCATCCCATTTCCTCCTGTAAGGCCTCGTTCCCTCTGGCTTCTCTAACTGCCCAGCTTCCCACCTGATCCTGTCTTCATGTCTCCTCCTTCCTGCAAGCCTAGCTCAGACCTGAAACCAAACCTAAAAGAAAAGGCAGCCCAAACTTTAAAGGACAAACACACAGTCATTAGTTGGCTCTGGTCCTGCAATCTCTGGGCTCTGTCCCTCATTTACAGATGAGCAAACTGAGCCCTAGAGGGGAGATGTCGTGTCCAAGGTTACAAAGGAGGGACCAAGACCCAAGGGTCCAAACTCTGAAACCCATGCTCTTTTCACATTCCTCCCATTCTCATGGCTTATAACCAAATTTTTCACTTTGGGATGGCAGAAACTGGCAGTGGAATTTTTCTGTGATCCGCCCCCCCCTTCTTTGATACCTCTACATTTCATGCCTGGTAGATGCTTGATGATAAATACTTGTCAAGTCATTGTTAAACATGCCATTCTTGTCACCAGGTGTGAATGAGTATCTGCTGGCTGCCTAATGTTGGAGGTGGAAAGGGCAGGTGGTGTCTTCCTGGCAAGAATGCTCCTGGTGGGTGGGGTGGCAGCCCCCAGAGGAACCTGGTCTCCTCTTGCTCCTACCCTGAGATCTGGTCTGGTGAGATCTCACCCTAGAAGAGCAGGTCTAGTTTGAGGGTGGGGGAGCTCTTCCCATTGCATCATGATTATTAATCATCTGTATCTTTCCTGGTTGGCTGAACACTCCAAGGACAGGCATGTGTCTCCAGG